CTGAAACATGAACATTTTTGTTAGGTGACTCTGGATTGTATTTGACCCATGTCTTTCAGTTGGATTTTTCTGACACTACTTCAGCAGGGGAAAGGGAGCTCCTGCCTTTTTTATTTTTAGATGGAAGCACAGGCCTCCCCATTCCCACTCTACCCCCAGCTTGGCTTACACTGACACCTCAGGTGGGGGTGGAGGGGGGGTTCAGCTCCCCAGATGTACTCCTCTGACATTATCCCAACAGGGAGAGGGAGGGTACCTTGTTGCTGCAGTGTGGGGATGGAAATACTAGCTCCCTACCGGGCCTCCTGACACTTCCCTGGCAGGGGTGCTGGGACTCCTCTCAGCCAGCAAGGTGGGAGTCTAGCCTTTGCTGTCATGGTGGGGGTCAGGCTGCATCTTTTCTTTGGTGTCTGGCTGGAGTAGGGTGGTTATTATCTTAAGAGTTTTCTGCCTTGCCAGGCTGTCTCTTCCCTGGCTCTTTGGCTGAGTAGAACAAGCTTTTATATTTTGTCTGTGCCTCTTGGCACTCCCAGGTTGCCTGCACCTCCAATCCTCCTTTTGGGACAGTGAGGCAAAAAGAAAACCCAAGGCCCTCACCTGCTTTTTGTTTCTTGGGTCCTAAAGTGTCTCCATCCTGCCTGCCTTTTCTCCACTTTGCAGGGTGTTCTCTTATTTGTCTCATATACAGTGTCCAGGGTTTTATTTATACATTGGAAGAATAGAGAAAATTATATCTACCCCATCTTCCAGGAAACAGAAGTTTCAGGGAACCCTATTTGGAGTGGCTTTGGGTTGGGGAGTCTGCTCAGACCACCAGCAGCCTCCTCACAGAGACCAGCCAGAAGGAAGAGCAGCCTCTGTGTTACTGGGCCTGTGAGGGAAGACTGGGGTGAATTTAAAGAGAAGCAGGTCAGGGGGTGCTTTCACATGGTGGGGTGTAGGTGCAGGCTATTGTGCTTTTGCCTGGATAGCCTACCTGAAACAACCCAGCCCCAGCCTTTAGGTCCTTACAGCCCAGCTTGGACCCTCAGGATTGACTGAACAGAGAGCTGCTTCTCCTGCAACCCCCCCAAAAAACAAACAAATAAACAAAAACAAGCCAGAAAATTTTAAAAAAACTAGGTAGCATACCACTGAGAGTATCTAGAGTATACTGCTGTGTGCCAGGTTCCTTGGGTTGTCTGTTTCAAAGTTGTGATTCAGGTTATTATGAGTTCTCAGGAAGAGAAGGCCTTCCAGCCTGTTGGAGAGGCATTGACCCAGGGAAGAAGATGAGGATTGAGAAGGGGGAACTACTGCCTCACAAAACCACTCGTGACAGTGACTCTGCTGGGTGCTTCTGGTTACTGACGTGACTGGGTCTGATGTTGGCATTTCAGATAGTCTGAGAAATATTAGGAGAAGCTGCAGTACTTCCTGGGCCAGGTAGCCAGGTCAGGATGGCAGATTATCTAAGGAAGAAGCATCTCTGAGTTGATTATGCTGGTGCTTGACTTCTCAGGCTTCTGGACTAGGTTACAGAGTCGGGATGTTCTCAGTAAGAGGTGCTGAGAAGTTTTAAGAAACAGCATGAGCTGATCTGCTCTGTTACCTTGGCTCCTTCCTTGCCGTCCCTATAACATAGCATTTCTGCCACTATGCCTGTGCCCAGAGAACCCTCTCTACCCCAGTCTGTCCTCCTGTGTGTGTGTGTGTGTGGTGGTGGGGCTCACCTCCTTCAGGGTCATTTCTGCTTCCCCATTTGCTCACTTTAGATGGTAGTGCAGGGTGGCAGGGTCTCCCAGTGGCCCTGGAGCTGCACAGTGGACACCTGGTGGTTCTCGTTCAGCTATAGGCACCAAGTCAACCCTGTAGGTGCTTCTTGCTCCACCCCTACTCTGTCAGGCCTGTGCCTGCTGCTTCTTGCTCCCCCTCTGCCTTCTGGCGCATTCCATCAACCTTCCTACAAACCAACAAACCGGGTTATTGACCTTTGAAACCTTTGTTCCTATCTCTTTGAATGAATTTTCCCAAATTTGGTGGGGAGAGGGGGAGTGAAGCAGTATCACTTGAAAGCTTTCAAAATGACCTGCTCACTGGCCCCTCCCCAGATATGTTCTACTTAGGTGTGGGAAGAGGCTTCATTAATTTACATTTCTTTTGGACTGTGAACCCAGGAGGATAGGAGCAGTTTCTTATGTATCTCTGCTTCTCCATTGCCTGACATGGGCCTTGGTAAATGATTTAGTTTAACAGCTTTATTAAGATAACATTCACATACCCTGCAATTGACCCAATTAAAGTGTATAATTTGATGATTTTCAGTATATTCCCAGAGGTGTACAGTTATTACTACAATCAATTTTAGAACATATTCATCATCCCAAAAGAACCCTTGTACCTCTTAGCTCTCATCCCCTAATCCTTCTCTCCCTTGGCCATAAGCAACCACTCACCTGCCTCTTGTTGCTATGAATTTGCCTTGGTAAATGTTCTTGATGGAATGTTACCTACTTCCCAGCCTGCTCCTCCTCCCAGGGCACTTGTTTCTTGCCCTGTGCCTTCCGTCGGCCCAGTGTTCCCATCTTTCAGGATAATCTGCTACTTGGAAGGTGTACCCTTTGGGGTGATGTGTAGAAGGAAGTCATGGCCAAGCAAGGTGGGTGCTGGCAGGCCACAGGGCCATGCACGCAGTAAGCCTAAGTAGACAATTGTTGAGTGAATGATACTGATGATAGGTTGGGGCGAGAGAGTGTCTGGTTCTGAGGAGACCTGTGCCAGTTTCTTGGGTCTCCCACTGTCCCATTAGGGACAGGTCAAGTAGATAGAGCCGATAGTGTGAAATTGCCCCAATGCGCTGAGTTCAGAGACTAGGAGGGTGCTATATAATAAAAGCTAGACAGAAATGGAGGGGACGTGACCATGGTCTAACCTCTCTGTTTTAGTTTGGGGTACTTTATGATGATAGGCAAAGTGGGGATTAACCTGGCCCAGGATACCTACCCCAGTGCCTCATGAGGGCTTTTGTGGGGTCTGCCAAGTATGCTTATCGCCGAGTGATGTGGGAGAGAGGCTGAGCGTGCTCGCTTGCTTGAGGATGGCTGTGCGCCACTGGTGCTTGCTGAAAAAATAGGCCTCTACTCTCTTCGCTCTGCTTTCCCAGGCAGAATTTTATTCCCACTCAGGTCATGGCCCTCCTGCATCGTGTCCCTCTAATCTATCCCTGGTTCACTGCTAGTACCCATGCCTGTGTTTCATCAAAGCTGCCCTCTCACCTCCTCCCTTCAGCCTACTCCATACCCCTCGTCCACAGCCCTTCTTACCTGCTCTGTTCACGTTCATGGGTAAATGCCAGTGTGCTTCCCCTGGGGTTCTTGAGGACCCTGCAGCAGCCAAGAAAAAAGAGTATTCTTGGCTCACCCAGATATTGTGTGAGCTCTCGCAAGTGACCTTCCCTCTCTGAGTTACAGATTCCACAGCTATTAAATGAAGTGATGTGTCAGGAGGACCCCTAAGGCTCACCCGGAGATCATTCCTTCTGTGTAAGGTGGGGTTTGGGCTTTAATTTGTGTTACTGCCCATCAAAAGTGTAGTGGACAGATAGGCCTGTTTAAGGCTTTTCCAGTCCCTTCTCACCAGTTGGATGTGGCTAAAAAGGGAAGCAGGCCAGAATATCTGTCTGAATCTTTTAGTTCATATTGAGCTCCTACTGCCAAGTTCTTGGATGAGGAGGACTCTTTGAATATAAAAGTGTAATAGTAGCTAACACATTTATTAAGTACTTACAGGCCAAATACTGTACTCAGTATTTTTTCTCAGTTCTTTTTGAGATGTAATTTATATGTCATAAAATTCATGCTCTTAAAGTGTTTTCAGTAGTTTTTAGCATATTCACAAGGTCATGCAACCATCTCCACTATCTTACTCCAGAACATTTTCATCACCGTAAAAAGAATCCCCATAACTGTTAGTGTTCACTCCCCATATTCTGTTCCCTCCATGTCCTGGCAACCACTAATCTGCTTTTTGTTTCTCTGGATTTACCTATTCATAAAAGTGGAATCATATTATGTGTGGTCTTTTGTGTCTATCTTCTCTCAACATCAAGCCTTCAAGGTTCATCCACATTGTAGTAGGTGTCAGTACTTACACCTTCTATTTGCTGAATGATATGCCACTGCATGGATGTACCACAATTTATCCATTCATCTATTAATGGTCATTAGCTTGTTTTACCTTTTGGTCATTGTCTGTACTGCTGCTGTGAACATCATGTCCAAGTTTTTATTTGAGCACTTGCTTTAAGTTTTCTTGGGTGTGTTTAGCTGGGGTGTATGGAATTCTACTTAACCTTTTGAGGAACTGCCGACCTGTTTTCCACAATGACTACACCATTTACATTCCTTTGCATTATCTTATCCATCCTCACATAAGTTTCATGAGGTGTAAATATAATTATTACCCATCCCCACTTTTAAATGGGAGAATTGAAACTCAAAGGGTTTTCAGCTCAAGGTCATACAACCAGTAATTTGGTGATTCTTTGGCCAGTGCTAGCTGTGAGCACTGAAGCAGTGTTTCTTCTTCCAGGCCCTGTTTCATACCATCAGGATGAGGGTGTTTGACTGTGTTGTTCATGTGATATACCTGGTACCTGGCACACCCCAGCACTCACATGGTTATTGAAGAAAATGCCATTTTTTTTCTGATCTTAGTGGCTTGATCAGGAACTTGAGAGAGGCATCTGTTCCTTAGGAGGTACTGTACTCTGCAGTTTCTCATCTTCCCACTGGGTTTTCTGTTTCACTTTCTGTACCAGGTGCTGCAGACCTCCCCTGAGCCTTTTGCTGTCACACATCATCCTTGGAGGCCCAGCCTGTGGCTGGGGAGTGAAATGTATAGAATGTGCTAGGCAGAGGTGACTTCTGTTTCTCGCAAGTGCTTGTCATTAATTTGACTGTTTAAACCTGTTCTTTCTCTCTGGTCCAAGGCCACTGACTACCTGCCCTTTTCTCCTCCAGGCAAAACCCATTTATGGTGGCTGGCTGCTTCTGGCTCCAGATGGGACTGACTTTGACAACCCAGTGCATCGGTCTCGGGTAAGGGAATCAGTGAACTCCTAGGGTGGGAGGGACCAGAGAGGGGCTCCCCTAAGGGTGAACTGACAGAAAGGAAGAAGGAGATGTGGAGTTGACAAATGGATTGCTAAATGATAGGATCAGCAGGGAACCCCATTGGAAAGCTCATAGAACCCATAGAAATAGTCTCACTTACACCTAGTTAAGTCTGGTGCTCCCTTCGAAGTAAGTTGTCACATGGTGCTGCCTGTTTCATGGGTCAGCTTGACTCTAGAAATAGTTAAATGGAATAGTTAATGGAAAAGGCAAAAGAGCAATTCAGCAAATGTTTGCAATTATGCTAGTTAAGCTCCCAGTGCCTTCAGTGTCAGGGCCCTGCCTCCTGCAGCTCCCTCCTTCCCTCTTCACTTTCCTCTCCTCTTGTCTTCCCCAGCCAGTGAGGGGGCTCAGCAAATGAGTGCTAGTGAAGGAACGAAGGTCTTGAGGACCAACTTTTGTTTTTGTTCCTGCTCTCCTAGGCACTCCAGCCCAATATGGGTTCCTGCTGTGCACAGGCTGCTGGTGCCTTTTTCCTGACCAGTGGTTTATTCCTCTGCCAGGGATCCCCTTTGGATTTGACTCCAATGAAAACGATATGTTTCCTTTTCTAAATGCTCTTTTCTAGGTGCTGCAACCTGTACCTCACCCATTGCTGCAGCTCTGCTCCCTTCTTCTCCCCCGATCCCCCAGAGAGCCTCTGACTGCCTCTTGATCTCTGCTGCTGCCAGCCCGAACACCACACTTGCGGGGGGCAGCGCAGTGCCCCACATGCCTTGTGTATGGTTCTTTGGGATTCCTTCTACAATGGGCTTTGTCCTTAAAGGCTACAAATTGGATATTTGGGAATGTTTCCTAGGCAGTTTCCCCTTGGACACCCAGCATGGAACCAGTCCTCTACTGGTCCTCTTTGTAAGGGGGATGAGTGTCCTATTTCTGCCACCCAGGCCAGAGGACTGTGTTTCAATACCCGCAGTAACCAGGAAGCAGCTCCTTTTCCCATTTATATTTAGGTCCTACAGAATTGCCATTTCCAGCTTCTTATGGGAAAATCATTATTATAAATGATGTAATTCTGGCCCAAAGAAAAGAGGCATGATATTTTAGATAGTTCTTATGGCCTTATTGCCCCATAAAAGTATGAATTATGTTGAACTTTTTGAAGTGGTGAAAACAGGTCATGAGACCCTCATGAGGAACGCACATACCCTCATGATCTTTTTCATTCTGCTCTCAGTGCCATTGGACCACCATTGGCCCCAGTACCTGGCCTTTGGAGAGCAGAGAGAAGGCACCCTGTCAGTCACACACTCCCTGGACATTGGAGTTGTCCCCACGGGTCTCATAGCTCCTCAGTTTTGACTTTAGTGAGCTCACTTCTCAGTGAGTACTAGAGCCTGGCTACCTTTTCCTCTGTCTCCCATTCCTTATGGGTCATGGAGACACCCTTTCATAGCAGTTTCCTAGATTTTTTCAGAAGTAGGGAATCAGTGCTTGCAATTCTCAGGTGGTTCCATATCATGTCACATAATTCATCAAATATTGATACATATTGTGTGATAAGCTCTGTGGTAGGTACATAAAGAATTCAAAAAGGTGACCAAGACATCACTGTTTCTGAGGAACTTGCAAATTAAAATAAACCAGGCACCTTGTTAAATCTCAATAACTTATGTGGAAACACACTATGTGGCTTGGGCCTCTCCTCTGGCCCAATCCTAGCTAATAAATCACCATTCTTCTGCCTTGGGTCCTTCTTTTCCTGACATCTGTCTCAGAAATGGAAGCTGTGGAACCAGTGTTCTTTAGATACAGGTTTGGCGTATTCAGGGACTTAGCACAGGAAGATCAGGGCCAGAACCCTCTTAAACACCCACTTTGGGTTCCTTTACAGAAGTGGCAGCGACGGTTCTTTATCCTGTACGAACACGGACTTCTACGCTATGCCCTGGATGAGATGGTGAGTGTTCTCCTCTACCCACTCCCCATTTCTGTCTTTTCCAGGCCACTGCTTTGGGGCTGCATTCACATCATCTGTGACCACAGCAGCTGTGTGCTCTCACTTAGACTTCTCTTTTGGGGTCTAGAATTTTTGAAGAACTTTTGACAATTGATAAAGATGACCCTTTAAAACCCAGACCTTTGATTTGAGATGTCTTCAGTGGTCATGGGTGAGAGTTAAGTAATGAGGGAGGAAGTCCTTCTGTCCAAGGCTAACAGGGGTTGGTCTTGGCAGTAGCATTCCTAATTAGAAGTGGAACAGGCTATGGACCAGCAGGAGCAGATCAGGGGCTGGCCCTGGGTGTGCATGTGGAAGTTGAGCACACATGCATCTGCTATAGTCCTAAGACTGCTCCTCGGTTCTGTTGCTATAATTGTTCTTACACATCCAATTGCTCTGCAGAGGCCTGCTGGTTGTCAGTGTTCTTTTGGTCTCTAAGCCAGGACGTGCAAGCTCCTTCCTGCCCTACCACCCACCTGGTTTGCTTCCCGCTTCCTGGGCTGGATGACTATTGCTCTTGGTCCAGAGGCAAACTTGAAAACCAATCAGGTAGAATGTTCTGACTTTTCTTTTTTCACCCATTTTTTATCTTGATTTTTTTTCTCTAAAGAAGATTGGTCTCCTAACTTTTCTAAGGTATGAGCAAATTCCAGGCTTTATAAAGGGTTGAAGGTGGATGATTTGAACACCTTTTCTGGTTCTACTTGAGTATGTGAGTGTGTGTGCATTCATTTGGACTACATTTTTAAATTGGGATTATCCTAGAAAATCTAGTCACATCATGTAAAATATGTTGGCCCCATTCCACCCAGAGTTAGTTTCTTTGCTTCATTTCAAGGGTGAAAGCATGTTCTGGAAGTGTGAGTAGAGATAATTGCCCCCCCCCCCATCCCCCAAGGACCTCAGAGACTGTGTGCTCTTGGACTTTAGGGTGGTTATTACAGCTCATAGGGGAATAGGCCACAGGTGGGTCCATTTCCACACATGCGTCCTGATTTTTGCAGTTTAAAAAAAAAGATTTCTAGAGATTCTAGAGAGAGGGGGATTTTATTTATTTATAGAAAGAGGGAGACATCAGTGTGTGGTTGCCTGTCACATGCCCCCAGCTGGGAACCTGGCCTGCACACTAGACATGTGCCCTGACTGGGAATCAAACCCGTGACCTTTTGGTTCACAGGCCAGCACTCAATCCATTAGCCACACCAGCCAGGGCTAGTTTTTGCATTTTGATGCTTTCTCTAATTTATTTCTGGGATAAATTAATGGGTGTGTTATCTATGTATGGAATTAATAAGTATGACACCTAGTCCTTCATTAACTATCATTGGTTTCTTCTTAAAAAGAATTTTCATCTTTCTCGTTCTTCTGTGAGTACATTTGTACAGTGTGGATGGGCCACAGAGGATTTTTGCCACAGAAACGTGTGGTCCAGAGTAGTTTGAGGTGACTGAATTGAAGGTGCATGCCAGTGGGGTGGTAGAACTTGCTGGCAGTGAGAACAGGGGGACTGATTTCACTTGGACCCTCATTTCCTTTGAGGAAAGGAAGCAGGCATGGAGGTAACCCAGAGTTGCTTCTGGGTGTTATACTTAGCTATTGTTTCTGCAGTAGCTCTGAGGTGGGAGCTGGGCTTCTAAGAGCCTTGAGGTTACTTGTCCTCCCTCTGCTTGGCTGGCCTAGTCTGAAGTTCTGCAAAGACTAATAATTCGCGAAGGAGCCTCAGATGTCACTGGATTATATTCAGGCTGGTTTGGACTTTCCTTGAAGACTAATTATTCTGGTCAGGAAATCTTTCTTTAGGCCTAACTGGAGTCCAGCACAATTCATTATTCCCTTCAGCTCAGTTACGCAAGCACAAAGAGGGTGACCACTGGGGGTGCCTTTGTGTGGGCACAAATGCACTGCACATGCTGCATCCCAAGAGCCATGGAGCCATGAGAACTGACACCTTGAAGGACAGTTTGGTCTCCCAGCAACCTGGATGTTGGTTGGGTATTATTTCATGCCCTGCTAGGGCAGAAGTGGAACTGTGCTAGTGACACAAGAAAAGAAAGAAGCTTCAAGAAAAACTTGGACTGCTGATAGGGCATTGGGGGAATGCCCAGAGCTGAGAGTTTTGGGCCATGGACCGCTTTTTGGCAGATGACCTTGGAGCTTAAGGTATTGATCCCATGATTTAGTCAGTGCTGCTCTGCTTAAACTGTGGGCGGTACAGATACACTGTACCTCCAGGGAACAAAGTGGCATTATTTCTATGATGGTGAAAAAAATCTGTGGTGATTGCTTTGAAATGAAATACCTTAAAAAAACATTTCAGGCAGGTAAGGATTTTCTCTTATGTATGGGAACAGTTGCAAGGAGGCATTAGGGTTGCACTTGGAAGAGGCTGGGTGAAGAGGGCAGTCAGATGCCAGCCACCCAGTGGTTAGCATCAGCGGCCGCTGTCATGTGGCTTATAGGAGGACTCCTGTTCCTCAGTGGTTTGCATGAAGACTTGTTCTTCACGGCCACTCACTGGATGAGCATCATCAGAATCCCAGAGCTCCGAACCAGGGTCAGCTTTCCTGAAGCCTGGACTCCTGCTTCCACCTGGCCAGCAAGGTCCTGAGACCTGGAGCTGGAGAATTTTTAGGCAGGCTGTGTGTAGACTGAATTCTAGCCATGCTGGTGTAGACTGAATTCTAGCCATGCTGGAAGTGTTCTGTTTGAGCACCTAAAGCTGTGGTCTTCATTTGGGGACCACAGTACCTCCAAGGCCTGGCATGGCCTGGAGTCATCTCAGATTCTCACAACTGTGTGGGCTGGAGGGGGTTGCTACTGGCCTCTAGTGGGTGGAGGCCAGGGATGCTGCTAAACATGCTATTTGCACAACAGAACAAGCCACTCCATCCACAAGAGAATGATTGGGCTGCAAATGTCAAGAATGCCAAGGCTTAGAAACCCTGTGAGATCTTGTCAGTGCCTTTTAAAATTTTTTCAAATATTTAAAAAATAAAATATGAGTTGTTATCATCCCTGTTCTTCAAAGGTACAGAAGGATTCAGTCGTCAGATTTTCTGGGAATGAAAGAAGCTGGCTGGTGTCGTAGGTGCCAGGCAGGGAACAGGGGTGGGCCTGTTTCTGGTATGGAGGGGTTTCCATGGAGTGTCCCTGCACATCAGGTGACCACGGGGCTAGCAGAACTGCTTTATGCATGGCTTTTACCTGGGGAGCACATGGGTACCATTTCCTGTGGCATGCTTGGACCATTCACACCTGTGTAATGGCCCCATCTTGGTGCTGGTCTCCAAGAGCAGCAGCTCTGAGCAGCTGGTAGCCACTACTGATTTTACCAGTGAGAGCTCCCGCCAAGCTGAACTCCAGCACTATCCTGTCCTCTAGACCTCCCTAGTTAACCTGCATGTAATAACTTTCATAGCGTTTGATGGCTGGATTTTGCCTTTAACATTTAGTTAAGAGCAATACCTTTCGAATTGTTACTTCACTTTTATATAATATTACCATTTGTTTTAATTTGTTTAAATGTTATCTTACCAACTAAATTGGGGGTCCCTCCCATTTGGGGGCCCCCTGATAATTTTTGGTATCTTTCTGCATTGTCTAGCTTGGGACTTAGATGGCAGAGACCCAGTCAATGTTCGTTCAGTTGAACTTGGCATCTTTGTAAATGCACTGCTGTAGAATTGCTGCTTTTAGCTTGAGAAGGTGGGAGCTGGGGTGCTTCTGGGAGAGGGATTAGGAGTGTTGTGAGCATGCAGCTTTAATGGTTCCTCACCAGAAAGGAGAATACCCTCCAGAGGGCCCCAGAGCACCAACTGGGGGGGAGTTGTGTGGGCCCCCTTCACTAGGACCAGGAGAGGCATAAAGCAGTCACTGTGGGTGTCAGGAGTCCCAGGAGGAGGACGGGCCTCAGTCCCTGGGCAAGTGCCTGTCTCAGGGGCTGCTTCTAGAGCCCTTTCTGCTTGGGGTCTTCTGCTAGGTTTGGACCTTCTGGGAACTACTTACTGTTTTTCTTTTCCACAAGGTTCTGGGTTGTGACTACCCTTTGGGAGTCACTTTTGCTTTTGGGGGAAGTTTTTTCTTGCTACACCAACCTACCCTGTAACTGGTGGGTGTGGAGGAGAGGCAGTTTTCCCAAAAAAGGAAGAGAAATTTCCCAAATGCAGGCTTAGGCGTGGTGGGCCCAGGGCAGCCTCACAGACAAGTGGGAGCCTGAGCAGCCTGGCTGTGCGTGTGGTGTTCCAGCCATGGGCAGAGTGAGGGATCTGGGAGCCCAGACTGCGGCCTTTCTCCTCTACTTTTGTTTTTCTTCCTGCAGTCCACCCATTATTGTGCCAAATCCTGCTACTTTTTGAGCTTTTGGGGACTGAGGTAGGGCTAATGCACTGGCATCTTCAGAACCCAAAGGTCACTTTAGGAGGCTTTCCCAGAGAAACACCAAGTCCTAAGGGGAAGCAGGACCCGAGATTTGGGCAGAGTACATTGCACAGTGAAGCTCTGGGGCCCTTGTTTTCATGTTCTCTTCCTTTTCCCTCCTGGAAGCTGGCAAAAAGATGGTCTAAGCCTCCTTTGTTTCTAATTACGGTAAAATATATGTAACAGAATTGACCATTTTAACCATTTTTAAGAGTACAGCTCTGTGGCATTAAGCCCATTCATGTTGTGCAACCATCACCCCATCCATTTGCAGAATTCCTTTCATCTTGCAAAACTGAAACATTGTTCCTATTAAACACTTACTCCCCAGTCCCCTTCCCTGCAGCCCCTGGCAGACCCAGTTCTACTTTCTGTCTAATTTTGACTTCTCTAGATTCCTCACATAAGTGGTATATGCTTTTCTTGGGGAGTAGCTGTGGGTTTGACGGTTCTAAAGGATGCTAAGGTCCAGCCAGAGAAGCTACTCTGGGATGTGTGTGCTCATGTGTAAAGCTGTGAGCTTGGTCTGAACATTTTAGAGG